TATAAAATATGTGGCTACACGTATCGTTTTCCGATGTATATAGGTTATATCAGGTTTTCCTGAAACACATTATTAAGACGCTTGAACATAAGCACATAGTAGTATATATAAGGCACTTTATGCATTTACGTATGCATAATTTTGATTTTTTCCCGGAAATTTTACGATTCAAATATTTTAAATTATTATATACCTACTTTACTCGTATAAATGCGAACCTTATTGAGAATTTTTCACATATTATATTAGACGTATATAATAAATGGACGGGTTTCGTCGGAATAATATCCAAGCACGAAGCAAACTTCCGTCGGTTGCACACTCGCGCGTGCGCACTCACAAACACACACACACACACACACACACACACATACATTCGATAGGGATAACCTACTACACGGTTCTTATTGTATTTGCCGGTTGAAAGGACATTGGAGTGTAGCCACTTACCTCTATGTATATGTACTATACACATATACGACTGTAGATTATATTATGTAGCTGCAACGTATGTATATGTATACTACGTGCGTATTGTATTTGTATACTGGGCAATGAGAATGGGCAAAAAACGCGTCCTCGGTAGGATTTGAGAACCGTATGCGAAAAAAAACGATTTGAATATATATTAGGTCGAGTTGTTACTTTTATAACTCGTTATAAGGCCAAAATACCTATATATAATATATATATATTATTATATTATATTATATTCATATCCGAATAATGTATGTATATAATACTGTAATATACGTATTACGTATATATATATACGAGTACATACCTATCCGTTATATTTCAATGTCTGTACGCGTCGGTCGCTGGCTCATTGTGCGAGTATATAAGAGTATGTTATAATATAATGGGGTGGTTTTACATGCACGCTCGTTGTTTAACCACTAGGTGCATACACATATATATCATCACCGCAGAACATATACCTGTAGCAGAAGAAAAGCAGCAGCATATTATTACGTGTCACAGCGATGTATGTCAAGATAAATAGATTATGGATATTATTGTATATACAATATAAAAACATATGTTCATCGGTATGAGTGTTATTTTGAACTTTTTTTGAACCGGGGAGTAATTTGATAAAAAGTTGTCTTTCGACCGCATTGCATTGCGGTGTATTCAGTATTGTGTTATATTATTATTTTTTGTTCTCGAAGTATGACCGACAAAATGAATATCTTTCTGACATCATGAGCGTACACGTGTAAATGGCGTAAATTAACCTCCGCTTACCTGGAGGTATATCTACCCGCCGAGTCGAGTCAATTACMYSGWYAGATTATATTCTTGTACCGTACTACCTGATGTAATCAGTGTACCAAGTATTAACGGCCAACGCTTGTAAAGTGTCGCTGTTCACGCGATAGTCATAACAGATTGAACGAGTGTCATTCACACATAAACACGCACAAACACACGCGCACCGATATGCTGATATTGAGCACACACGCGTAGAACAAGCGGTTCAATTCCGTATTTACCGTATACGTACGTTTTTGTTATATTATCTGTCCGGGTCGTTGTAAACTCGAAGATTACTTCCGGATACGGCGTGCGAGAAGAAATGAAAATCTTTTCGACGGTCGGGAGCGCGTGTACACGCGTGGACTGTGCGGAGGGTGGCGCGATGGGACGTTTTTTAGTTTCCCTCGTATTGTATGATATAATGTAGTTATTATACGCGTACGTTCGTGTTTGTACGCGAATCGAAACGAGTTCGGAAGAGTTGTAGACAATCATCACGGGCGCGGGCGACGCAAATGACTTCTAAACGAGTCGCATCGTCTCCCCACGGGGCTCGACGACGGCGTTTCATCCAAAATGCGGAATACTAGAGGAATCCACGACGCGTATGTATAGAGGTTCACGCGTGATGTGTATAGTCTGCCGAGAGGATTGGGGAAAATGAAATAAAAAAAAAAACGCATAATATATGCTTTGCGTCGCCGGTAACGTCGTTTACGCCACGGTGCAGTGATGGATGGCCGCCATCAGTTCAGCGTCTACCAGTCGTTCGCGTACAAACGTTATAATATATACATAATATTATTATTATTGCGTTATATACGTCATCCGTTCGGTTGTCGTTTTCGTAGAGTATATAATATAGAGAATATACATTGTGCACCTAAACGTAAATAGGACGGCGTAGCCACTTTTTCTGTAAAATAAAAACTCAGTTCCCTCCTCTACCCATAATATACTATACCGCTCGCTCCGAGAAGACGTGCGCGCGGTCTGATTTATTTTTAATTTAAATAAACGTCGTCATCAGTCCTGAGGGCCGAGTCTCTCCGTACACCATATAATATATATACATAAAATACGATCTGTCGACGCGCGCGCTCGTGCAATGATTGGATTGCGAAATGATTTGATCTTCCGGTTTCATTAAAATATCTTTCTTTCTTTCGCGCACTCCATTTCTCTCGGCGCTCTGTAATTTTCCCCCCTCTCACACTCTATCACTCTCTCTCTCTCTCTCTCTCTGTTCCTCTAGGTTTTTCGTCGTCTGCGGAAATTTCTTTCTCGCCGTTTTATTTCCCGTCGAAAACTATATGTTATTGCCTCCACTCGCGTAGGTATCTATACAGACACGATCCGTTGACGTCATGACCGTCAAGCTGCAGCACCACGTCGCAGTCTCGAAAATCGCGTGAATTAATCTCTATAATACTGCACCGATCACCGCTGCAGRTCTACGACGATTTCAGCATTATTTTTGGTATAACACCATCGCATCAGACTTATGAAGTGTCTGTGACTGTGTGACAGTAAACATTTACGCGAAGACCGAAAAAAAAACTCGTTACGTCGAACGAAATCCAAACGCGTCCGGGCGTTTTACGAATAAATTAAAACATGTGTTTCAAAAACGGTCGGAAAACACAATATAGCAGAGAAACATTTTTCTTTACGCCATTTATTTATATAATATATTATATTGTTAGTAACATACGCGCGTGCGAGCATTACTTTTGAAACGAGCGTATCTCGAATCATTCGCTCGGTTTGATTTAATATTTTTAAGAAACGCGGCGTGTTCGAACGCGGTTTCACGGTATTTTAATATTAAACCACACGTCTCCTCCATCCACCGTAAGTCAACGGCTCAATCGTTATGTATATCGTGATATAATAATATTATATACGGCAAAACTTTTCGAATACACTCATCTCCGTATACATGACTTGATAATTTTCAGGCCTATAATTTGCATCCCCGTCGCGACCGGAAACAAATAAGCGTCCCTCGATGTATATAATATAATACTCGTGTATTGTACATCAGGCAATAACAACAAATACGAATGTATATTATACGTAAATATTACATATTATTATGCAACGTTTGGAATAAGAGCTGATATTGAAAACCGACGAAGGCGATTCGGTTCTTTTTTTCGCAATCGAATTTATATTCGACTCGGGAATGAAAACGATAGAGGAGCACACTAACTCGAATTTTTACATCCAACAATAATGTTTTGCCGTGCTGTAATTCTATTTGTACAAAGTCAACCGTTCCGCATCCCTTCTCGTCCATCCCGAAATCCTTTCGTTTCATTATACGCACGCCAGGGTATACGCGCTTGATTTTCGAACTCGAGTCTTTTCTCCCCTTTGGCCTACACAAAAGAGACTCGATATCTCTCTGAACACGCCTCTCTCTTTCTCTCTCTATTTTTTTCCTCTCCAAAATCAATCGTTTTCGACTCTATTCTCTCTCTCTCTCTCTCTCTGTATTTTGCTCTCTCCCTTCCCATCTCTATCTTCCTGGCTTCCTCTCCGTCACGCCCCAACTGTATATACAGATGGGTATGTATATATATTTACACACAAACACACACACACACACACACACACACATGCAGCACACACGAATGTTCGGCGGTAATATTATCGGCTGTACGTGTCCGGCGTTCGAGATTGTCGTTATAATTTCCAGCCGAGTCGCGCGGCCATCGGCAACCCGAACACGCGCGCTGCACGTCCGTCCGTCATCATCCACTGCCGTTGCAGCCTCAGGGTCCAAATTGCCGGCACCGGACCATTCGATTATGTCATTATAAATACCTTGTTTTTATTTCATTACTGACGTCTCTAGGCCCCGAACACATAATGTCGACGCCTTCACCGAGCTGCAGTACACCGTTATGTAAGCTAAAACAGTATTGGGTTACCGTCACTTAATAAATATTATGTACACTGCACACACTCGTTATACGCGTATAATAATATTATCTGTGCACGAGAGGTGTTTCGTCACGTTTTTGTCAACGTTCTATATTATGTCTTATTGTTATTGTTATCATTATAATTAATAATATAATACAAGTTACCCGTTCAATTCTACCAATCCAGAGTACATCGTGACAAATGTCTAGAAACGTCAAATCATTACTGCATTTAAAATTTATTTTCAGGACATACAATTATTAAAATAGGGAGGTGGAATTACCAGTTGACATTCCCTAAAAACTTCTCCCCCCTCGCTGAAATCAACCTGAACGTAATTTATTCTTTATATATACCTATTTTATAATAATATATTAAATAGTATGCTAAATATCAAAATATCTAATGTTTATTTGTCAATTTTTTATTTTTTTTATTTTTATTATAAGAGATCACCCTCTGAATCATGGTATTGCCGTAGATACATAATTTTGCTTAGATATACGAGCGTAGGTGCTCTAATATTACATAATAATAAAATAATTGTATAAAACAACAAATTTAGGTAAGGTAATAATATAAACTATGAGCTTAACTTTAAAATAATCTTTGTCTAATAATTATTAAATTAGCTTGTCCCGTTTTGTGTCTGAAAGTAAACGAATATTTTGGCGTAGAAAAAACAGGTTTTAGGATTTTGTATATGTCATCGGATGATTTGTTTCGATTCCTACAATCGAAATAATAAAAAGAACATTTTTTGTCCATGAAAAACTTGTAAGTATAATACGTTAGTGTTTTAGTTAAACAAAAAAACCGTTGTCTTCATATTCGTCTTCATACGAAGATTCTTTTGGCTGACCGTTTACATTTTCTTCGTCTGTCAATAAGTATACATCGTCGATGTAATCTGGAATCGGTGGCACATAGTCTCTCTGGCCTTTTCTCACAACGTTCACACGTTCCATGTCGTCGGAATCGTTTTCGTAGTTAATTTCTTCGTAAGTGTCTATCTGAATTTCTTTGGAGAAGACGTGGTCTCCTGTTTCCAAGGAATTGGGTTGTATATTCGAAACCGATTTATTGTATTTCCTCCAAGCCCTCTGATGGCAAGATGTTATAATAGTATAATACTATTATATTAATCGAGTTATCCCGACGAATCATTTACTTGTATTAAAATCGCAGCTTCGTTAGCCGATTTGGGTGTAACGCCGTATTCTTCAACTGTTTCTATCACGTTTTGAGTAATTATTTCAGGAGTCCATTCATTGTCTATGCTCGAGATGACTTTTTCGTTCTTCTCATTGATAATTTTTTCCAAGTAATCCGCTACAATCGAGTACGCCATATACTCATCTTCGGGAGCATGACGTATCACCTATAAATATGCATTAAAAAATGTATCCGTCGACTTTGGTTAAACATGTGTATTCGGAAATAAAACGTTCTCTCAATGTCGGATCTGGTAATCAATAATAATAAAGGTATTTTTACACTATCATACGTCATGTTTAGTTTCATCTTTCAGAATACGAAAACTGAAAAGTGTTTTCACCAAAAATAATTTCTATTGAAATGAAGTAGGAAGGATATTTGTAGTTTTATATTGAAAATTGTACTTGTATGTGGTATTATGTTCAGATTACACATACTTTTTGATATTACTCATACAGCGTCTTGCAAAGCAAACACAGAAGTGCTCAGCGAAAAAATAATGCACCTACTGCATTCCTTATGAATCATCCTACTTTTTTTTTACTTCTTCAATCCTTATTAATTTATTAATAATAAAAAATAAATCCTAATACTTACACTATTTAATAATGAACTATATATTGCCTAATACAAAATATTTTCTGTTTAATAACTAATAATAATTAAATCGATTGCAAAAAGATTATTAGTTTTACAACTATGAATGGCCAACCATTGATAGCTTCAATGCAATGAGTCTGAAAATAAGCCGACTAATTGACTAAAAAATCTTATCGTACTGCAAAGGGCCTAGACTAATTTCTCATATATATATAATAAAGCAAAGTTTCGAATCTCTTCATAAAAGACAAATTTTTGTGAATGGGTGGTGTGGTCGCGTCAATTTTATATACGAAAATGGTGAGAAAACCGACACGTGACATAGTCCGTCTAGCTTATAAGACGTTTGGCGTATTTATAAGTCGGCAATTATTTATGACCTGGTGAAGTGTGTCATATGTGTAATCTACTCGCCTCTCGTGCAACGTCCATCATTAGGCCCGGCAATCCATCGGGGATTTCCACTGTCACTCGTTGGCCGTCCGTTGTTGTCTTTAGACACAGATTTCCGTTCATTTTTACCAATTATAGAAAATATTATGACGAATATTTCAAAAATCGTTGTAAATATAAATAATGCCGTTACGTATATTTAATCGCCAAGGAGAACATAATAATATTAATGATAATATAACGACGACGACGATGGCATAATAATAATAAAATATATTTCGTACAACAAACGCGCGCTACAAACACCGTCTGATGATTAATAATAATAATAATAATAATAACGTAAAGAGGGCGCGAAGACGATGATTAGCCGTCGCGCGCGCGTGTGCCATTAGTGTATATAAATTTGTATATAAATACAACGAGGAGAGACACGTGGTTTACTCGTATATACATAATATTATAAGGCCTTTGGGAAATGTCAATGTTATGAAACAGTGTTTAGAGTGTGCTAATTGCGTCGATTAACGAAACTGGCGACGAAACGTAATTTGACATTTCGAATGCAAATAACGTTGTCGTTGTAGGGGTAAACACACGCGTCTCGCGGAAAATATATCGCATAATGTGCTCGACGCTGCTGCCGTCACGAGCGGTGTGCATTAACCGCAGAGGCACGTCTTTAAAAGACATCTAGTCGCGTCACGTTTGATTTAGTACCACTCCTTCAAGGAGGAGATGGGAAAATAAAGGGTTACACTATACAATGTACTATATAGAATATAATAGGCATTGGTTGTTTTGCTGTGTAATTATTAACTACTTACCTAACCAAAGGAACGTGGCGCTTTTATGTACTTCTATAGTGGACCGCGAAGATTGGCCAGAGCTGTATGTACCTACCATAAATTATGTTATAATTATCGTACGACCGTGGGGTGGTAGGTGTTTTTAACCAGGTAAACATACCTTTACCATGCCGAGCATCGTTTTAACGGAAAACAGCAAGTTATTACATGGATCCAAAAATAATAGGTATGTAAGACGTCAGGTTAGAATAGTCAGGTTAGGTCATATCAAATTATTATGTAAGTTTGGAAACTATGGTGTGTTAGTGCATACACGAGATATGTGAAGTCCAACACTTTGTAGGTTACACAAAGTCGATATGTGTTGATTCCATAAAATATATGAATATCACAAGATATGTAGTATTATAGAAGATAATTATATACCTAAGTAGGTGTATGATGTAGATATGCAGGATTCCCCCTAATAATCACTAAGCATTGTAAAGGTAACAATTGTATAGGTCATAAGTAAAATAACGAACAATTTATTTTATATTTTTACTTCATTCGGAACAGTGCAGTTGAGTTTAGATAAGAACTTTTTTACCTAATCAAAAATGTAGATAATACGACAAAAGATGAGCATGGAATTCACGTTTGATCAGATGTTATTGATTTACGAAATTTAATCAATTGTGTAACGGCGTAACTCAATAGTGGTTGTTTGTTAATAATCACACAGAACGGCTAAGGTTCTAATAAAATAGATAGATTTGCTGTCGTAACGTCATGTTTAAAAAAAAAAATAAATACATTTTATATCAAAGTAATATGTCTTGTTCGAATAGTGTAAATCACGTGATCTATATAACGTGATGTGCGACAATGCGATGGCCGTACTGATTTTGTCTATCATTCCCCCAAAAGTGCGTAGGCGTTTTTTTCCCCACCCAAGTCGTGTCTTTTTCGTAGAGTTCATATAATGTATACTCTTTACAAGGTTCACTATTACTATATAGACACAAACATATTATAGCTACTACTATTACACTGGTTTATAAAATAAACACTACACTATCATGTCTATATATTGAATGACAGGTCGACGTGAACACAATACGTATTTCTCCCCCACGTAGAAAACGAAATATTTTCGTTGATAAAAAATTCTGCTAAATCAAAGATCACGAAAAAAAAAAACCTTATAAATATTCATCGAGCCCTGTCGTATTGTTATTTTTTTCCTACCATCTCCGTTTCGTTGACGTTGCGGTACTTAGGCGTTTCGGCATGTCCCCAGGGACGTCAATGCCGCCGTTCCGTCGGGAAAAATTCCAAGTCTGCAGAGGATCAAAATATAGGAATAATAAAAATAAAACAAAATAATAATAATAAAAGCGAAAAGACGGTAATTGGAACGGAATTAGGATGCGAGGGCAATCTTTGTTGAGCGAAGTACGACGAACCGTGACAAGTATTCGCAGCGGTGCGAACGAACTCCGCGACGCGGGTCGAAAGTGCGAGCGGGATCGGTAAACCCCGATTAAATAATAAAAAACCTTTTAATCCGTAAAAAATAAATACGGGTAGAAGCGCATTACGAAATATATATATAAAAAAAAAACAGTCAGATTATAAAATATGCAGGTCSGCAGCCCGCAAAAATGTGTACACCTCCTAACAGCCACGCACAAGCTCTTTATAGTTAATTTTTTTTCGGCCTATTATATTCAACCATCGCCGCCGCCGCCGAGGTTAACACGAATTTACACAAAGTTTGCACATGCGTAATACCATATCGTGATAGGTGAATAATTTGTATACCGTTGCTTACGAATTACCGAACCGCCAACGCCGCCTTATCGTCCCCCGGAAATCGCAGATACCGTTATAATTAGCCATATTAATTATAAAGTTATTTTTAAAAAGTTTTCCAGGCACTTGACGCGAAAAAAAACGTATTCATTGCCAACGCACCATTTTTTTATTATTATTATTATTATTTTATTTATTGCACTGTGGTTATTCTTTCTTATCTATAAGACCGTGTAACAGCTAAACACCCCTTCGCTAAGAACCCTAAGTTTTTATTCTTTGCCAATTGCGTTTGAATGAAAGTAATGTACCCAAAGTTATTCGTTTTCGTATCGCGCAAAAAAGTTAGATTAAAATGTTTTGGAATATTTATTTTTATGTAGGTATATGTATTATATATGTATAGGTATATATTATTTATACATAGTAGTAGTATAATACCTTCCGAACACAAGTTCGCTTAAAGTGATATCAACAAATTTTAGATTTTAGATTCTGAATGAAACAATGAATGTTCAATTCTGCATATTATTATTATTATTATGCTTTGTGTATAACGCATATTTTATTGGATAATAATACACAATTTTTTTATGCTCCAAAAAAATTATTTATGATATTTCATTGACATAAGCAATACAATCATACAATTTTTAATTAATAATTTTTTTTTTATTTTACAAATGCACATACACAATCTATACATCTTGCACAATAAGCGTATACGATAAGAGTTTAAAAAAAAACATGGATTGCTTAAAGAAGAAGCCACCCATTATAGTGGTACTTAATTAATAATTTTAAAAATATTTTGCTTGACGTGTTAAATAATTTAACTAATTTGGTGTTTTTTTTTTTTAAATTTTAAAAACAATATTTTTGTGATTTATATAGAATTTATTATAAATTATTTGTAATATATAAAATTTTTGATTAGAATATTATATGTTGAACGTTCATAAATTAAGCCATCACATAATATTTAATATTTTGTAACATAACGCAACACTTTCAAGTTTTAACAACTCGCAATTTGTACTAACACGGTGAATCTATATATTAGGAAAGCTGCGTGTAAACGAGAGCCGCGCAAGTGCAATCATCGACCGCCAACGTTACCGGAAAAAAATGAAGTTTTTCGTCGAGAAAAAATCGATACAGCATTATTATACGAGAATTGTGTTTTTTTTCCAAGTAACGGAAGCGTTTTGCGTTCAAATGGCATTTAACCAACATAAAAATGTATAATGTATTTTGCCACTCCTTATCATAATATGAAGCTGGCAAAAGTGTAGATTCACAATTAAAATATTACAATTAATATATATTATATACATTTTACACCAACAAATTCACTTTGCAATGAGCTGTAAGCCGGTTTCTTTTTAATCGGTTTTTTTTTATGTACTTGCTTTAATGGCTATTAAAATCAAGCGTTATCGGGTTTTACAAAAAAAAAAAAATGTCTTCAGTGCACAGAAATGGTTACGTAATTAATCAAACCAAATTTGTTCTGTTTTTCTCTAGAACGATAATAGCAACAATTTTATTTATTCTGATACCTATATAGAAGAAATATCGTAATATTAAAAATAAGAAAACAAATGACACATATTATAAATATTATGGACCGTTGAAAAATTCTTCGATTACCCAATGACCGCGACTGGCTGCAGTTCCTGTACCGCCGCCAAAATATCGGTCGAGGAAGCAATGCACCGGGTGCGCCGAGCGTCAGCCCCCCTCTTGTAGCCACCCGGTCCCCCTTTACCCAAAGTTACGCAACAATTTGCGCATTGTGCCGGGGTGCAGGGGTGCACGCTATTCCCACCCATGGGCCCGGTTCGCCCCACTGCCACCACCGTCGGATCAATACGTTCGCCAACGCGACCGCCTTCCCCGTTTCTGCCACCTACCCCTCGACGTGGTAAATGTACCTGCAGGTGCAGTCGCATCCCTTCCACACTGCCGCCGCCTACAACCCTTGACCACTCCAAAAGCCAATTCACACCACCACCACTGACACGGCGTATAGTCACCTGCAAACTGCACGACGCTGCAGCAGCACCACCACCCTGACCGCGACACCCTCAACCCCCTTTACCAACACCACACTGCCGAAGTCCCGGTTCACCGGCATGTGACATTTTTTTTTTTTTTTTTATATACCCGTCGTCGCGTTTCATTTATAAATTTTTTTTTTACCCTGTTTCCCTTTGAGATCTACATAAATATTATACACTACAGTAGCAGGTAATCAAGCGCGCGCTCTTGCGGGTCGTTACGCGACAGTAATTTTCTCTATCATTATTATGACGTATAATAATGATAATGATCTCGAAATTAAAAGGGAAAAAAGTACCCTTTATCTTATTTTTCTTTCCTTTTCACACACTTTCTCTACCTCACACACACTCTCTCTCTCTCTTTCTCTCTCTTTTTTCCCCCCTCTCTTCATTCCGATTTTTACGCTTTTCTCATAACCACTGCAGCAGCACCATTGCATTGTTWGGAAATAGATATACGAGTATGTGTACGTATAACATAATATTATATAACAATGTATGATACACTGGCTGCAGCTTGTCGATTCGTTTATTTTACCGCTGACCCTAAGGTCACGCCACCTTTTTGTCRTCAGCTCGACTTTCGTGATATCGTCTGAAGAATCAAATTAAATGACCGGTAATGGGGAAAAAAATGAGGAAAAAGGTCCGTGTAAAAAAGTTGTCTATTCATCTCGTTTAATTGGTATACTCTCTCGAAGAACCCACGCGTCATATTATTACGTTGATGGAAAAAATGAGTAGTCTTTTTTAATTCCTGGCCTTTCCTTAATCAAGAGATGACTGCAGCCGATTACACCGAGTTGTAATAAGAACATTTTTCGAGCTTACATTTACACACCCATTTATACATGTATTTGTGATTAAAAAGTYGCCATTTACCCTCCGGACCATTTGTTCCGCGGCACAGAACGCAACGTTATAAACGATTTTTTGTGCACACGCATACCGAGTTAATTAATTAGAAATTCAATTTTCTTATTCGTTTGTTGTATGAGTATATTATATTGTGCGGAATTCGAACAATACCATTATTGCTGCATAATACAATATATTATATGAACTTTCAGCTACGACATAGCTCTTCGCTTCCATTCCATTTGATTGTTATTCGCTCCTAACCGACAAACTAAAAAATTATAATAATAAATTAGCTCCAATGGTTTAAGATAAAAAGTTCACGTGATTCTCCGACAAAACTATTTTATAAAACCACACTAATTATTATAACACTAATAACGCATCGAGTCACGCACTTTAGAKTGCTAAAAAGTGTACATTAACGGTCGTTATTATTCATTATAAAATACGAATATAATAATACCTATGATAAAATTATAAATTATGTCATATTGTAATAGTTTAAGTCATCATGTTATTTATAATATAATATAATATAGGTACACCGAGGTATAATACATCTAACACTTACTCACATTGAATTTAAATTACACTTGCGCACTGTGAGCCCACATTGAGTGCAAATCAATTTATCCTCAATCGAGGACATGTGGATATATATTACGTGCAGACCGAATACTCTTCTTGCTTTTTTATTTTTTATAAAGTCACAATCACTTGCAATTTAAAATCAACGATTTCAATAGTGATTGAATTGTTCGGTGACCGTATTTAATTATTCAATAATCCTCGAACGTACTCGGTCGACTGCCCCTTAATTTTTTATTTATTCGTACTTAAAAACCAATTAAATACTCAGGTCACGCCGTGTACTACACACACACATGCACACACAAACGTCACAAACCCACACATGTGCACGAGCGCGTGCACGCGCACACATACATGCGCAAATCTATTGGCGTAATACACGTTTTATAATCTTTAAATGTTTAATGCCGTAATAAAAAAAAAAAAAAAAATGAGACGGTGAACATGTACAAATACGAGTTTTACTTTTTCTCGTTCTGTTATCAAGTATTACTTACAACAAAAATCGAAGTGCTTGAACTTGTGGGGGACCGGCGTATCGGAATTCATTATATATATTTTATTAAATATAATATATATATATACCTAGATATAATAAACGAAAGTTTTTCCATTACCAACTTGAGTTCTCGGAACACTCTTGAGCACGTTTGTGCTACATTCAACTGTAAGTCAACCATAGATCGTGGAGGGGCATCACCATATATACTACGATTATTATACTAAACTAACGTCATATTTGTATCCTCATTTGCACCGAGACACATAACCGTATTTGAAAATAAATGATTTTTTTATGCAAACGTATGACATTGAAATCAATTTTCTTATCAATCTCATATTATTAATTCCACAAACTCGATGAGAAACCGCCGTGAAGTAAACGCCGTCTTAACTTAGTCTAAAAAATGCTTTTAAGCTATAATAATCAACTAAAATTTATTAGGTATATTTTTTGAAAATTCTTTCCTCGTTATAAACATATTTTGTTTCCGGATGTGAAATTAAAAATAATATACACTGTCACTCAAAAAAGTTGAAATAATAAACAAGGTAAGTTGAAGTTTGYTCAAAAAAGATAATAGGTACTCTACAAGATACTGTTAAAATAATCACTCTGTATAACGTGAATATGTGTTATAGCAGGTAAACCGCGCCTCCATAAATACACACAAAACAGTCGATCAGTTCGCGAGGTGTATGGTTGTCAATTACAGAATCGAAAACCCGGACGTCGCGCGTTTAAAACAATAATGAGAAGCGTCGGACGAGAATTCTGCGCGCTTTACGTATAAGAATAATAATTATAATAATACAGTCGTGTACACACCCGCACGCACACACGTGTAGGCACCTATATTATATGTGTACACAKAGACCCGACTCGGTGTCGCCGGAGCCAAACTTGTTGTTATTTAAAACCACGAGAGCGACGCGTGGGGTGCATATTATAATAACACACGACGTTCGGGGCTCGGCATACATTACGCGGAAATATAATCATTCGTCGCATTCTTGTGTGTGTGTGTATATATATATACATACATATATGATATACATATTTATATGCGTATACGTGCGGCGAAACTTTCTAGCCAAGTCATCCGATGCCAATGATGAGTGTCGACATCCATTCGAATGACGAATTGCTTATCTAAACACGTGAATAATTCCGTAGCGGCGGTGGCATACGTGTATAGCGCGCACACATCAGCCACATATATTATGCGGGTGTGTGGGTGTATGCGTGGCGCGACTTTGGCGCGGGAAACTAAAGGAACCCTTCCGGTTTCGCGGCCACACGTGTGTTATTAGGGAGGGCCCCGGGGGTCGTGCATTATATACGCTGCAGCAGACGTCCGGGTGTGCGTTAAAATGCGTTCATGAATATTTGACGGAAAACCGCAGCGCCGCGACGACGACGACGACGACGACGACGTGTACGGTAATGTGTGCGCGCGTGTATGTGCATTATTATTATCATTTGTTATCGCAATAGTCGACGTCTCCGAGCGTATTACCGACCTATATAATATAATATCGTATAATATATACATATATGCAATTGTGTGCATATTGTATTCTTCTCGCGGACGGTCTCTGCTTATGGTTTTCCGTTCCGCGCCGCTCGGCAATACCATAATATAGTAACGTCATTCTCTGTCGATTTTTATTCTTCGACGACATGAACAACTCATCGTCTTTAAACAGTGCGATGTCGGTTTGAAAACGAAAAGACATGAAAAATATGTTTTTAACCGATGCAAATTGTGTTGTTAAYGCAACTTTATTACAGCACAAGTACCCATACTCACAGGATTATAAATATCTGCCATGTTCTATATATCATATATACAGTGAAACYTACTTTAATGAACACCCTCAAACAACGGATGGAAWTTTGGACCGTATAGGTGAGTTGATTCTTGAAACCTTTCTCATGTATTAGTTGATTCCCTGGGTCAGAGGTACGTACAAATTGATTCCCGGTTATTATATATTTTATTCAATATTTAGTAAAATATTCAGCCTATTAGCATAACCCAAGAAACACCACGAGGAGGTTGCCTGACAAATTTCTCAAAAATATTGTTTTTYTTAGTTTTTCATTTTTTGAAAATCATTTAATTGGTATTCATTAATTATTTATTGTATTATATTATATTTATTATTATTAAAACATTTAGTAGTAATTAGGTAAAAAATATTTAAAAAAAATAGTAATTTGGTAAAAATTTGTAACACATTATTTTTTTTATAAATTGATATTTGTTAATGAGATTACCAGTATACCGTGACATCTCTTCTCTTAAAAAAATTTATTTTTCTTGTTGTTTTTTAGTTTTCTTAGTCCATGAACTCTTCAATTTTGTCGTCGGCTGTTGGTCGAATTGCAATAAACTTGTCTGTAAAGCAATCGATAACTTCTATTAGCCTTAAAAAAGGTAGGCCAAAAAATAGTTTCAAAAAATTACCGGTCTCATTTTCTAAACTAGTATCTTTGTAAATTGCCGAGAGATTCTGAATTTTCCWCCACCAACTTTGGGCTAGATGAAATCTGCACCCTCTTATTTGTGATGTTGGCCAGAAGCTCTCTACTACCATATGAATCGCAATCTCAAAATCTATAAATACTTGAACAGGTGCGAGTGTCATACCGTGCAAACTAAAATGATCAGCCAAATATTTGAACGYTGCTTCGTAAGTGATTTTTTGTTTGTCGGGTAGCAARAAAAATGAAAGTGGTATATATACGTCATCTTTAAATCCATATGAATGATTAAAAGTTGATTAAAGTACTTAGGACAGACATTAAAAATCCCATTCATATAAATGTCTATGACGTTACATAAAACGTTCAAATTACGTTCAGTAGAAAAACCTATAATAGAACTCACGCTATTATTAACAAATATAAACTGTTCATTGTTATTAGTTGGGTAGTTCAYGRATTCTAAAATTTCGYGTATTTCCATGGCGCTTTTTGGCAGTGAAGGATGAATAGTAGAAAGAGTTCTATGTATATCATGCCGTATTAGAGATAAGTCATTATTCATTAAAATACTTATATCTCCGTGTTTCAACTATCTGTGATTAAATTTTGAAGGCTTCACAAAAATATATTCAACAGWTTTCCTTTTTAAGGAATTGCTCAGCGCTTGCCGCTAATATTTTCGTTAATTTTGTCATGCTTATGGTCTGTGWTGCTTTCTATAATCTGATTATTATCGATTTTTAAATAGCACTTACAGTTACTCTTGCTACAAGTTCAGCGTTGGATATCGTTTTCTAGCATTTTATGGAAACAAAACGTGTATGCATCTATTGGTATTAATGGWTTAGACTTTTCACTCAATATGAATTCCATATTTATCCAAAAATGTACACTTCGAAAAATACACAACAGTTTWAACACAACGTCACAATTTATGTTGAATTAATAATGGTTTCAACAATACTGGAACACTCCTAATATTCTTAAATGTTCAACTGTAAATACTGCTATTTAACTATCTAAAATCAATTATTATGATAAATAAAATTGAATACGTTACATATATATATATATATATATATACGTAGGTAATAATAATGACGATATTCTTTGATAAAAAGCGTTCGACTAACACACATTCACTCGCGTACGTGCGCCGTGTAATGATTTTTTTTTTGTGAATTTGCGCGTGGTCTCGGTGGACATAAGAGCGAGTTTTGTATGACGGTCGAACTCTTGACGGTCGTAAACTCTTTACTTGTGCAATCTATTGATAGTGGATACACAACAATAGGGAATCAACTCGTACGTACCCTCTAATGACCCGAGAATCAACTGGTACGCAGCCATTTAGGGAACGGCGAAATGTGTACTCACTGTAAAAAAAAAAAAAAAATTTAAATTAAATATAAGAAATAATAGAACCCCCAAATAGCGGACAACATTTAAGCGACCAAGAGGTTTTAGAGGTTTCAATAACCAATTTAGTGGTTTCACTTTATTATACTTTTGTAATAGTTTTGTAGTATTCTGTATTGTCTTAAATAAGTATTCATGATGCTATATATTAACCTATTTATAGTAAATTTAAGATCTAAATAATTATTATGTCACCATCACAAAAACTACATCGATCAATGTAMAAGATAAGGTTATAATATTAGGTTATAGCCYGCAGACTAAAATCGTTACTGAATAATAGGTAGGTAACGTCATTACCACTTTGATTAGATAACTGAAATTAAATTTTTGTGGAAAATTAACGAAATAAGTAAATCTATAGCCGTTATCGATGATGACAAGTTACTTCGAGTTTAGGATRTGAGCGCTTAAAATTTGAACGATTTTCTATAATAACGTTTTTTTGTTATATTTCCGTAAAGATGGAAGGGAATCCGATTAGTATGCTCTAAAATCGTGATAATATTGAAAACGTGGMCGGGGTGTACCTGAATTGCCTAACTAAGACGCCGCGTGACCATAATAATATCAATTTATTATTATTCATAAGGAACTGCGTCGAAATTAGATTGTGGAATATGCGTGTTATAAATAATAATTAATGTAAAAATTAAAGGATGAGAGACAAACGTTTTAAACTAAGACAATRTCTGTCGACATCACAAAAGTACTTGCAATTGTGTATGTCTTATACTATTATCTTAATATTATGTATGACTTAATAATCCTCACTTGCATATTATACGCTCATTCGACGGTTATGTTATGTGTTAAACATAATGCTATTACTGAATCCCGTTTATGACGCCTTTCTGCATAATAATAATATTGACTTTTCTCAYAGTGCGTCGGAAATGTCGTRCTTAAGAAATATAATCCTGCACATCTTGTCTAATGCCTACTGCAATATAATAATATGATGTCATACACTTGCTCGGTGAATATGTAAATTAATGTCTCCCACTTTGTTTCACGACTGTTATTCGACTTGAGACATTAGATGAACGCTTTTAAAATTTTTATTTTTTCATCTTGACCACCGTATTTATTACACAGGTATCGCCGTTTTATCCAATTATGAGTATTTATTTTAGTAGGTACCTAGTGATGATGTGTGCGTGTTTATTTTATCACTTAAAACCACAACTTGAATTTGAGAGTCCAAAAGCATGACATTTTTAGACCAGCAATCTGCAGCCGGGCATAGAAGTCACCTACAGAAACAGAATATGATGACGCAACCTGATATTGGACTCGGCAGAATCACGAATCGGACATCCAACCACGGACTCTGAACGACGGAAAACTAATTTTTATGTACAGTACTAATGTAAAACTAGTGCGACAAAAATGCAGCGGAATAATTACCCTGAAATTAATGTTGAAAATGTTTATTATTCGATGTTTAACATTACGGTGGCTTTTTGTGGTCTTCGATTCGAGAAAAGGGGAAAAAATATCAGAGCRCACGTATTATATACGCAGTACCTTTTATCCTAATATTAATATATAATAACGAGATATTGTGCTCAGTCATTTAAACGAGAAATGTCGACAGTATATTATTTTAAACGCCGCGTGTGTGCTTAATTAAAAGGGTGTTTACTGTTTATAAATGTTGTATACTCGTATGCAGGGACGCGGGAAAAAACATTTTACGGGCGCGCATAAAATATAGCCAAAATCCTTTAACTCGCGAGTTAGGCTACTTTATATAAATAGGGTTCCGAAGAGCCAACACTTTTTCCCGACGTATCGTTCTATATATATATAATATGCACCTACATATGTGCTTGTATATGAATGCATACCMGGCATCCTCCTTGCAGACGTAATCCCGGGATCAGAGCAAGTTGAGGACCCATCCTGCACACGTATATTATCCCGTTGCGGTTTGCACAGAAAATAACGACTTTCCGTATTATTATTATGTATATACTTAAAAAGCCGCACTTCTATTATTATTAGTATTATAAAATGTGGGTGAGTGTACTTTCAGCGGTATAAAGCACGAGAAACGTGATAAATAATATTATAATTTAAACGTTTGTATATTACATACGATACTATAGCTGTGGGGCCGAAATAGTAAATTTTTATTCGAAATTTTTACACATAAAAGTTGCAATTAAATGGYTCTGATAACACGTAAAGTGTGCGGTCGTGAGTGATGTGAAACACAATCCGCAAAGGTATCTGAAAACAAAATGATTGTAGGTAGGTATAATGCATGCATTTTAATGTTCTATTATTATTATTATTAGTATTATCTATTGCCATGTGATATACATGTATATTTATTTATTTCACATCCATTAATCACTTTATAAATAATAAACGTATTACGGTCGTTGCAGTAGTAATTCTACCAAGGGACACGTACGTATGCGGTGAGAGTTTATTTTCAATAAATTGTCTTTATTATACTGGAATGTCAACAAAATATTATAATAAAGGATACCGATATAGTATAGTAGACGGATGAGGAGAAAACATATAAATATTTTTCAATGAAATTACTGGTCGTTTTCTATTCTCTAGTTTAATATTTCTAAGTGTGTCATAAATATTATACATTTTTTTTATAAGCAGTCATCATAAATTTATAACGTAGTGTGTTATTTTAATATTGCTATGCATAAATACCTATTTCAGACAAAAAATACGAGTAGACTTGTACTGTAATTATTATTATTATTTAAAGTATATTACTAGTGGTTATTCTTAGGTTAAAAAGCTCAAAAATATATTACCTATATACTCAAATTATTTTCTTACAGTAGTTAAAAATATAGAAAATACATCACTAAAAATCCTAATAAAGCTTTAGAAGTTTACATTTTAACAATATTCGAGGAAACCACAAATAGTTACAAAATATTTCRAAGTTAAAACTATGATAGAATTTTCAAATTTAATACCGAATGCTTTGAATTAAAAAWAATATCGTTCGTTTTCCTTATAGCACTTAAAACAATTTGAAAATGTAAACACTTTTTTTAAATTACTTCAAACAAAAATGTTAGCAATATTTGATATGTAATCGAATATTTACGACTTTTCCTTAGCCATATTTAGTTATTCTGTTTCAGTTTAAAAAATATATATCATATAWAGACTCGAAACCCTCRCTATACGTAGTTATATTTACCATACACCAAGACATTTTATAAAATATTTTAGTTATTTATAAGTAGGTAGTACAAAAAATATCAGAAATTTAAAAAACATGGTTTTTAAGTTAACTGAAAACTTTGAAAGATTATAATTTGAACAGCTGTACTATCTATTAATGTTAATGTGAATAATGGAGATAAGCATGCTCAAAACATCACCTTATATATTATATATATCTCATAGCACCTATTACAAATGTATTTACCTCAGAACGGAGTGAATAGGTCCGTAGTATAAAAAGCTTAAGCAGTATTCTGTGGCGAAACCAATTTCAATTTTTTAAATGAGCACTCCCCCATTTTTATACTGAAAATTATTTATCAGATAATTGAATTGAAAATKTTGATGCATCTAAATCAAAATGTTGATTAGTATGTTTATCCTAAGAATAATAATCTTTAAAAATCCCAATGTGAAAATTAAACTCACAGTTATTGCAAAGTGAAGGATTACTTAAGTTAAGGATAGCTTCTAAAAAAAACCGTATATTATACCCAAATGATGTGATYATTTATCTACTTGATATCCATTTATAATTATAATTTTTTTTTGCATCTCATGTGTACAAACAAAATCTAACAAAAGTGATATTGCASTATCGATGTTATATACGAACRTGTATGATAT